CAATGTTTGATTTCTTATCGAAAAAATCTTTCTCATGAGATTTTGTATGTGACGAAAAAAATTTCATTGACGATTATATTGCAATCAACTGATAAGTATTCGTAGACGTATTTAAGGGTTGCACAGAACATGCTTCTTCAGTTCACTTCATCATCCGGATCGTTCTGCTTGCCTATAAGCAGAAGGTCTCCATCGGTAGATTCCTCGCTTAGAGGACACTCGCCCTTCATTTCAATTAGGATTTTAGTTGGTAATTATATTTTAAAGATATTTTCTTAGTCATTTGAGCGAACTGTCATTGCAATGTGCCTATACTGGCATATTGATTTGCTCGTGATTAGTATGAGTGAAGTGAGGGTTGGAGGAGTGACATGAGACTTTTCGAGACTGGTTCAATCATTTGATAGGCTATCGTGTCGGCACGATTCCGCTCCCGAGCAGCAAGCTATCGCTGAAAAGATTTTGGAAATTGAAGTAGGGCAGGGCATCACCAGAATTCTGAACGGGTTGAGTGCAAGTGGCCGTCGCTCTTATGATGCAGTGGAGTACGTAGCTCTCATTAAGTTACCTCTCTTCTCATAGGATGTTACCTGTCAACTTCATTTCAATTAGGATCTGAGTTCATAGTACTACTTCGAGGAAATCCTCGTTGTAATTTGAGCAAACGGCCATTTCAGTATGCCTATACCGGCAGAATGATTTGCTCATAATTAGTGTGAATGAGCTGAAATTTGGCGGAGATATATGAGATTTTTAGGGACTGATTCAATCGGTTGTCAAGCTTCTGACACGATCGCACTCCCCCCGTAACAACCGCTCACTGNAAACAATTGTGAAGTTCAAGTAGGCGATGGAATCACATGAATTCTGAGCGGGTTGAGCGCATATGGTTGCCTTCGTTATGATGCAGTGCCGTACATTGATTGGATGGACGTGTATCGGCGAGTAATTTCATTTGTAGTATTTGCAGAAGGAATTTGAAGAAGACTTTCGGAGAAAGTTTTGTCTGGAACCAAAATGGATGCATCGTCTCTCCTCAGATGGCTGTCGTCTTTTCTTAAATGGCTATTGTCTGTTCTTATATGGCCGATTTGGTGAGTTTTTTGTTTCATTACTCGCATCAACATACACTTTTGCATTTTTTGTTCCGCGTTTCATTGGGTTTCAGCACAAAATTGTATCGAGTGACCAGAGTTTGCAATAAGGTCGATAAATGATTTGAATCCTTCCAAACTTTTAGGTCGCTAATTCAATCCAAATGTAGGAATGATGCACTCATATGAATAAAACAAACAGGAGTATTCGATGCATATCAATAACTCAAACTAAATAAACAGGACTGGAAACGACGAAGTGGCCAAATATCCGGAAATTCCTCGAGCTCAGCTCGAGTTCGTTGAGTGTGTGGGTAAGGGTGGCTTTGGAGAAGTTTTTCGCGGAAAATGGAGAACAGAAGGAAGAGAGAAAACAGTCGCGATGAAACGAGTCACCGAGTTCGAAAAAGAGGTCCGTTCATTTTTTAATGAAGCATCATCGTTTCTTCAAAACTCATGAAATGAATCCCACTTTGTTTGCATCACTCTCAGCTTATATTTATTCTAGTTGTTCAGTGTTCCATTCAGTATTCGTGATGTGTTATCATAATGAATATCACCATATTAAGTCATTTCAGGTGGAAATTTTATCCGAATTTGACCACCCGAATGTGATCCAGTTCTATGGCGTTTCAGAAGTCGATCTTGGATACCTTATTGTGACAGGTTAGCTATGAATTTGGAAGTTTCAACTGCATACCTTTTCGATGTTCATTTTAGGTACATAGGAAACGTATATGCAATGATTCACGCATATGTAAGAAAGTATGATCAAAAGCGACCATTTTGCATTCTTTGAAATCAGAATATTTGTGCAAAAATAGATGTTTTTCAAAGTGAGTTTTATTGAAGTGAGTTTCTGATACTGTTAAGGCTTGATTTGAGTGGAAAGTTCATTCTTGATACTTCAAAACTTGAAATTATCGAATACATTCTCACCAGCGATTGTTAGACGGGGCGGTATTGGTCACTCATAAGAATTGTTTATGCATTTAGCTGTAAACTCATCAGTATCATTAACTTTTAGCAGAACAGTCGGAGGATATCATTAAAATTGACTTGCAGAATTTGCCGAGGGTGGATCTTTGTACGATTACCTTCACAAATCACAAAATGCTGTCAGTTTCCGTCAAACGATCGATTGGGCATTGCAGGTTATTTCATTTTTCATCATTTGAATATGACTCCTTTCTTGAATTTGTAACATCCTCTCTTTTTTGATTTTCAAGAGCATTCATTCATTTATTTATCCTCTCAGAATCCCAAAAGAATCCTCGTCAATCACGGAAATTATAGAGCTTATGATAGAACATTTATGTAAAAAGTTGGTGGATTTACTGAGGTGGAAAAATTATTTGTATGCGGTTGGAGTGTCAATAACGTTCGTTTTTGAGCGTCATTCTATGGAAATTTTCAGAACTGTTGAAAAAATGCATTAATTAGGGGAAGAAACATTCGATTTGCAGTTCATTGGATGTAGTTCGCTGATTTCATCACTTATAAACTTCTGTTCAGATAGCAAGTGGAATTAGGTATCTGCATTATGAGGCGCCTGCGAGAACGATCCATCGTGACTTGAAGTCAGGAAATGTTGTCTTGACTCGTCAACTCGTCTGCAAGTTGTGTGATTTTGGAGGGTCGAAGAATTTGACCCATTCGGAGACGGAAACATCCCTCCGTGGCACAATTCCGTGGATGAGGTGAGCCGTATCGGTCAATTAGACATACACCCCGCTTATGTTTACATCAAGTTGATTGCTCATTCTGAAGTTGAAAATCATCATCGTATCAGTTCTTTACATCTTTATTGTCGTTTGTCAATTTTCAGTCCCGAAATGATCAGAAGGGACAAAATAACCACAGCAACAGACGTTTGGAGCTATGGAGTGGTCCTATGGGAACTGATCACGCGAGAGGTATTCACAATTGAAAGTTGAATTGTTTTTCAGGTCACCATATTCACATTTCATTATGGGATGCGTTTATTGCAGGTGCCCTATGAAGGTTACAGTGGTTTTTGTATATGGAAATCGGTCACAGAAAAAGGGTCAACTCTCGCTATACCTGAGCAATGTCCGGCAGATTTCAAACGGTACGGTTTTACTGATGATGCTTTTGATTTTGATTTCATCAGCTAAGTGACGAATATTGTTGTGAAACAGTTGAGAAATTAGTTGAGGTGCTACCGATTACAATGCTATCGATATCTTTCGGAGAAATGAGTTTGTTGGAGTGAACGAATTTCAGTTTGATGGAGAACTGTTGGCAAATGGATGCAAAGAAACGATGCAACATACTTGAAGTGATCGATGAGTTAAACGATATGCCAATGAAGGTGAATGAGTGTTCAGTATTAATTTGTCGATGTTTTTACCGTTTTAAATTCAAGCACATTGGCAGCAATAGTTGCGGTTATTAATTCCCAAAATCTTCCGCATACCCATTCATCACGAGTACGAGAAAAAGCGTTTCGATCGAGAGTTGTCGATTCTTAATTAATTGAAACCGCGCGTGTTCAATTTTCATTTGCGAAAAATTTCAATTTGTGAGAAAAAGTTGCTGGAACCAATTAATTAACCAATTAACCAATTAACTAGTCTTTCTAGCATGCTTATTGATTACATGGTACGTTGATAGTGAAATCAAATTAGTTCAGTTAGATAGTTTCCGTTTCATGATTCAAGAATGGGAAAGCAGAACATTGTTGATAGTGATTTAGCATTGTGCTCACTTCACAATCGGCGGGGAGGTATGAGATGAGCGTTACCCAATTATTTTACGAAATCATTTGTTTCGGTCTGAAGATCGCAATACATACCTCGATTTAAAATTCCACTTTTTAAATTAGAAGATGCCTCGAAAACAGTCATGACGGGACTCGTCTAGACCATACATTGATCAAGGTCTTCATCGCAGGTCTACCATATCGTTTAGTTTGAAACCGAACTCGAGCCTCGTCTCAGCGGTAATCCGGCGAAATTAGTACATCATGCTGATAGCGTTGTTCATGTTATGTTTGATCTAAAATTTCGACGAGGCTTATTATATAAATCTTAGGGTACGTCTCCTTTATGGCCATACCTATCCGCTTAATTTTTCAGACAATAGCGCGGGGCGAGTTGCAGAAAATGCGTAATGAACTGCAAAAGGAAATGAAACAGGTACGAATCATTTCATTCCTCATCGTTAGCAGTTACACTTATAATATTGCAAACACTATTATCAACCGATGTTTCTCTAATAACTATACATATACTAAGCATTATCTGATCAACTTTCAGATGGTAATAAATGAATCGAGGAAATTGCATGCTGAAGTGTATGAAACGATGCGTGATGAATTGCAAAGGATTCGCGAGGAAACTAAACAGGTACCGATGAAATAAAATTAGTACTTTACCGAACAACTGCAATCATTTCGTTCACCTTGTTTATTACAATGTTCTGTCGTAATTAAAGTGATGTTGAAATTTATGCGTTGCAACTTTTCAGGTCAAGCAAGAGGTGTGGGGCGAGTTGCAGAGAATGCGCAATGAATTGCTAAAGGACTTGCAACAGCAACCGACACGCGTACGCGAGCAGACTGAAGATTTGAGGTAGGTGTGCTCTCTCCATTGCGATATGTTATCACTGAATCAGTTTGGGATATCAGTAACACCGGTGCTCCACTCGGTTCCGAGCGAAAGTTTCCTCAATGAAAGGGAATCAAGCCCACAACGTAACAAGTACCGGTCGGGTGCTCTACCTCTCGACTATCTCCGAGACCGTTCTGGCTCTAGTTAGATCCCCTTGATGACCTTCGCATTGATATTTAAATATTCAATCTCTAATGTGAATAACGTTCATTGAAATTCCTCAAACGAGACGTTGTCGATTTTGTTATCATTCGTAACAATCAATGACGATTGTAACATTGGTGTTGATCGTAAATATTTACAATTTTAAGGAAACTGCGTGAATACGCAACTGATGAAGCCCTGAATGAAGGGCTGCGTTTAATTGATAACGATCGATATTTGTCACAAGTTTATAATGCAATGAAGGCTAGGAAGAGGTATTCATTGGA